GTTAATCTCGGTTTACCTACAAATCTTCTACTGTATGTCTCAAACACCTCTTAATCTTGTACCGATGGAACAACAAGAAGAAGATAAAGGTCGAATGGGAACTGAGAGAGAGATAGGGGCACAGACGTGTATAACGTGAATGACGAATTATTTTCTCTTCCCATGAGCTTAATGATGTATATATAGAGCTACAGTAGGGACCATAAGAAGATTAGGAGAAGGGCTCCTTAATTAATTAAAATATTTGTGGACCAAGCCACTTATTTTACTTAATTAAATAATATTAAGCCACCAACATAATATTATTGCACTCCCTTTCCCTAGCTTAATTTACAATTGAGACTTCAATAATAATTACTCAATTTATCTCACAATATTTAAGATATAATGTCCATTAATAAATTTCGATTACTGACAATCAAGAATTAATTAATTTATTATTATTTCACCAAAGCTAACGCTCGTTCATCACATTATTACTATGCGGGAATTTAATCCACCTGCAGGATTTAGCATAATAATCCTTCATGAACTCACTCCGGGGACATCATCAAACTAACGCACATGGTGACCATAAATATCCTAACAGCACATCCTACATGCAACAATATCTATTGGCCCAGTTCACTAAGTCTCACCCATGTGAATCAAAGTAATAAGTACTACACATATATGCATGTTTAATATCTTACGGGTTAAGAGCACACAGTAATTAATCGAGGCATAGTTCGTTTACGACGATCAGTATAAAACAAATTGCTCCTCTCTGGAATCCTGTTCAATACAAAAATGTACTAGTGCAACTAATCAGTCAAGACAAACTGTACGGTTGACACTACAACCGTTCACGATTGGGTGTTCATGTCCATGTAGGTTGTGAACCATTAATTTTGTTTCGCGAGTAACTGATAGTATGATCTTCGGTTCGCCCGATGACAACCCACACTATCTAATGCAAAACAACAGAACGTAGAACTTGTTTAATCTAACATGTTTCTAATTCATAAAGGGTAAAAGTGTAATATAATCCAAAGCCAAGCTTTCAGTATATAACACTAACACTGCCATGGCCAAGGGAAAGGAGAAAGTTGGTGCTGTTGCTGCAAAAGAAAAGGAGAAGGCTCCTGAGTCCAAAGAAGGTTCGGATGCTGAAGATGATGAGGAAGGTTCTGATGTTGAGACTGAAGAAGAAGATGGGGCTTCAGAGGAAGACACTGAAGCTGGTTCTGAAGCAGGTTCTGCCGAGGAGACTGGGGATGAAGGGTCGGCTTAGACCTTTCGGCTGGACATTTGACTGTGTTTTTGCTTAAAACTATTTGATATGCATGTTGGATTGTCTGAACTGATTTATTTTCTTTCTGCTTGCGTGTGATGAATGTTTGTCCCATTTTTGTTGCGTTTTTCGTTGTCATTTTGTCTTTCTTTTTCCCCTATGTTAGGTCTTTTAGTTAGTTTTTAGTCCGTTTTATCATTTATTGCGTGTTTTGCGTTATTTTGAGTGTCTTGGTGTGTTCCGTTTGCTTTCCTGTGTTTTTTGGTTTTGTTTTCGTTTTTGGTGTGCAGGTAAGAAGCTCCGAGAGGACAGGTTTTCAAGAAAATATTTGATGGTTTGCATAGTTAGATAGAGGGGTTCATTAGCGACGTGTAGAAAAAAACGGAACTCAATTCCGAGTTAAAACGAACCCGAATGAACAAAAATCGTAAAGCCGCGCGCAGCAGCCAAATTTTGTTCACCGCGGGCAGTGGAGGAATCCCGCGGCCGCGCGCGCGGGATCACTACTGCAACTGAAAGGCGCGGCCGCGGAGCTTCCCGCGGCCGCGGAGGTCGCGACCAGATTTTTAAAAGTTAGGTTTTGTTCGTTTTTTCGAGTACTTGGCATTGGGACTCGTTCCCAGACCGAAAGGAATCCCCCAAACTCCTTTTTTTCCCCTTCTCTTACCCTAAGAACACTATATTAATGTTTGATTTCATTATCAGTTGGAGATTTTTATCTTGTGCTTGGATTAAACCTTCAATTTCATCTAAATTGTAAGTTTCTCTTTCAATTAATCTTTGATTATGGAAGCTTGGGTTTGTATGGTTGATTGTTTAATCTTCAATATGAGTAGCTAAATCTTCATGCTAGGGATAGGGGATTAATGTTTTGGTCTCAATTATGATTATTGTGCTTGTTGATTATTCAATTCATGTGGGTTGATCTTGACTAGGGTTTTGTGAAATTGTTTTGGAATTTTGAAAATCATTGAAGTAGTGACACTTCAATTTACAATTGTTCATCGATTGGGTTGGATTTGCTCTTGAATGATTTCATGGAATCTATTGCTTGATTGATTAAAAACCATTAAGCTATTTAATCGACTTGTGGAATCGAAAGAGGAGGAGTCGATAGACCTAGGCCACATGAAATTGGCTTGTTCGGAATGGTATTGTTAATGTGTTTAAAAGGACTTATTGATTTGTCGTTCATATTAATCCTCTTGTTACGAAGAGTTATTGAGGATAATCTCTGAACGAGTAGTTTATCAAATTCTCTTAACTGAATGATCATTTGCTCGATAATCGTATTTTGAGCCATAACGGATATCCCCGATTCCCTAGTTTCTTCATTGAGGTTTATTTCATGTTTTAGGTAAATTTATATTTTATGCATTTTATTTTATTTCTTAGTTGATAATCCACCCAATCTTTATCTGATTAGAGTGTTTAGGATTTATTTTTCCTTTTTGTGTTATCGATACCAAAGCTAAATTCCGAACCGCCTTCCTCGTGAGATAAATCCGGGGAACGAATCTTTCGATTCGATACTCGGTAAAAAGAATAATTTGTGCTACAACAATGAACTTTTTTTTTAATATCTTGTGAACTATTTTTCTTTTAAATTATTCAGGTATTTGAGTTGTTCATATGAACAACACTTATATGATAAGTATATCTTGGATATGTATATATTGCAGGAAATGTTCTTCTGTATGCAGTTTCAAAGGATGTGTTTTCGATTTATCTGCCAAAGGGAGAGATTGTAAGTTCTGAAGATTGACAGTAAATCGAAGAACCTTTTTCAGTTCCAAGGATTCAGTCAAACGCAAGGATAATTAATGAAGTTGACTTGAGTGCTTTAATATATTTTTAATTGGAATTGTTATTTAATAATGTGTGTTTATTATAGCAGGTCTAAAGGAAGAAAGGCGGGATTTGCTTTTCGTATATGCTAGATGATTGCGGACTTGGACGTAAGAATAGAAGACCTACCATACTTGGGCGTAACTCGGAGGCAAAGCTAGAGGAAGACTTACCATACGTAGATAGAAGATAAAAGAAGGATTGAACGCATAGTGAAGGATACTTTTGATCTTTGATTTATTTTGAGGAGAAAAATTGGAGATTGTATTTTGTTGTTCATCTTTGGTGATTTTGTTTTTCATTTTTGTGAATTGAGTGAAGTGATCGAAACTCTGTTTTTTTTATTGTGAGAGATAGAACAGAGTGAATGGAGGTTCATTCTGGTAGAGTTTGAGGGATTCAAACGAGAAAAACCACAAGAGATTTGTGGTCGAATGAGTAGTAGTGCATGTCATTGTTCAAGTAGAGTGTAGAGGGAGTCTATTTTGTAAACCCCTGAAGAATGTTTGAGATATTTGTATTAATAAAAGAGATCCGAAGGGAGAGTGAAACACTCTCCTGAAGGTTCAATTTTCAGGGATACTGCTTACGCTATTGCTTGAATCTTCTTTGTATTTTGTTTGATTGAATTGTATGCGACTCTGGATACTTAGTGTACAAGTATTAAATTTCATTCTTAATATTATTTATATATTAAATATTATAACCCAATATTTCTTACATATCACATCAACTTTAATTCATCATTCATCAACTCGCATAATTTTAACTACTTATCATTTTCAATCATTTCTCTCATATTTTTACATCAAATCAATTATATTTATTTTATTTTGAGTATTATTTTATTATATTATTAAAATTCTACTAACAACTAACCATAACACATTTTTTTAAATTTAACTCTAGTTAATTCAAATAGCTCATTTTGAGAAAATTATTTCATAAACAAGCATGCCTTAGCTTTAAGCCATGGCTACTTTTTTTTTAATTCTTTTTCAAAGCGATAGACGGATTCTCATTAGCAAAATAAATAGTTTTACAATCGTGGACTAACTAGTCCCATATCACAATGATACAATCTAAGGATATCACACTACTATCCTTAAGAATGAGCCAAAGAACAAAAGGCAAAATACAAACCAAAGTAATTAACATAACCAACTACATCTGAGTATCCTTAACTAGAAGCAACAGCAATATGTTGGGTCTTCCTATCACAACCAGCAACCACCACATGCTCTTTCCCATATCACCTATAGTCATGGCTACTTTCAACATTTCCTATAAGACAAATGGATGTGACATTTAAAAAGTATTCTTATTTTAATATATTTAAAAGTTAACTTATTGTCCATAAACATTCAAATATAATTACTTTTTATAAACTTTTATAATTTTGAAAAATATTCACAACAAAATATTAATTTTAAAATTGGTACACATGGATGTGATGTGACATTTAAAAAGTATTCTTATTTTAATATATTTTAAAGTTAACTTATTGTCCATAAACATTCAAATGATTACATTTAAAAAGTATTCTTATTTTAATATATTTTAAATTTAACTTATTGTTCATAAACATTCAAATATGATTACTTTTTATAAACTCTTATAATTGCGAGATTAATACTTTTGAAATATTCATAACAAAATATTATTTTTAGAATTAGTCCACGAAGAGTATTTTTTTAACACTATAAAAGGGCATAAACTTAAGCTAGAGAACACATCAAAATATTGTGGTAAATTGTGGTCTGAGAGAATCATGGGAGGCTTTTACTTTTATATCGTTTTCAGTCTTTATTTAATTGTTACATTTCTTGTTAATGCGTCTTCTAAACTAGATGTTACAAAATCTATTTATATTGTGTACATGGGAGCAACACATTCGTCGAAAGGTGTTCGAAGAGCTGATCACGTCGAACTTTTGCAAACACTCGAAAAAAGGTCAATTTGAATAATTTTGTTCTACTTCCTATATATTTCAGTATAAATAGTAAATAACAGAAATAGTAATTAATTTTCAGGAGCTTTGGTTCTGTTTTACGTACCTACAACAAGAGTTTTTTGGGATTCGCAGCACTTTTGTCAAAGGAAGAAGCTAGATCAATGGAAGGAAGTCGTGGAGTGGTGTCTGTTTTTCCAGACTCAGTTTTACAACTCCACACGACTCGTTCTTGGGATTTTTTGTGGAAGCAAGATGCTTTAAGAATTATCAATAAAACAACGACTACTACTACCACATTATCTCCTCCTTCTTATACATCAAATTGTTCATCCAAAAATGACGACACTATCATTGGGATCTTAGATTTAGGTGAGCTAGCTAGCTAGTTGGATATGTATACGTACTGTTTTACAATACTTTCTTTTCAGACAAGGATTGGTTATGATATAATTTGATCATGTGGTAGCCTTCAAGTTCATGTATAAATATGTTGCAACAGGAATTTGGCCTGAAGCTCCTAGTTTCAGGGCCACTCGAAGCATGCGTCATATCCCAAAGCGTTGGAAAGGAGAATGCATGGGAGGACCAAATTTTACTTGCAACGGGTAAAAGAAAAGAGATTTTACATATGACATAAATATTTAATTGTATACGCCATCGTGTTTAATTATATTTTGGTTTTGTGTCGTTTGCAAATAATGTTATTAAAATAGGAAATTGATTGGAGTAAGGTACTATGAGAATGAATACACTCCAGGCGATACCACATCAGGTAGGGACGAGGTGGGGCACGGAACACACATTGCATCAACTGCGGCCGGTATGCCCGTCGATGGAGCATCGTACTATGGGTTGGCCGAGGGGACCGCAAGAGGTGGATCCCCAAGTGCAAGAATCGCAATGTATCGTGTTTGTGGAGCTAAGAATTGTTCAACATCAGCAGTCCTCAAAGCAATTGATGACGCAATTGATGATGGGGTCGATGTGTTATCCATGTCGTTAGGCATGCCTGAAGATAATTTTATCGCTAATCCAATCGTTCTTGGAGCCTTCCATGCGGCACTTAAAGGTACCACTGTTGTGTGCTCCGCAGGGAATAAGGGCCCTGATGGTATGACGATTCAAAATTTTGTCCCTTGGATACTAACTGTTGGTGCAACCACTATCGACCGCGAATTAGAGGCCGATATTGTATTGGATGGGACAACAGTTTTTAAGGTAATGAATCGAATAAACACTGGAAATAGTAAAATATAATTATATTGGTACATATATATTATGATTATTATTCCAACTATATATTATATATAGTGTAGATATCACGGTTCAGTATTTACTAGTCCATTAATTTGGTGTTGTATATAGGGTGGAGGCATAAACTTTGCTAGCCTCAGTAAAACTTCCATTTATCCTTTAATTTATGGAGCAACCGCAGCTTCCAACCACCATAATCGACACAATGCAAGGTAGTAATATAAGGGTTCCAATACTTCTTTCAATTTTAGCTTTTTCGATAAAAAAATAAATAAATAGTTTTTGTAATTTGTTTGACCTCTATTTTGGTTTTCATCATATTCAAAATATACTTTTAATTTTATTTGATCCATTATTTGAAAAAATATATTTGAATTACTAGTCATTTGGGTTACATATTTTTAAAGTTATCGTAATATATGAGGATCATTTGGTATTATGCAATTGGCGTCTTTCAAGCCATTGTTATCCAGGTTCATTAGATCACCGCCAAGTGAAGGGAAAAATACTTTTATGCATAGATGACGACGAGGACGACTATGGAACAGAAGAAAAGTTCGAGTCACTAAAGGAACAAGGCGGCGTTGGTATTATAGCGATTAATGACATTTTTCGCCGAGTGCCGTTGTCTTATGGAACTTATGCAATTGCCGTTGTGAGCAAAGAAGATGGAGCTCGAATACGAACTTATATCAACTCAAACAGGTTTAAAATTAAAAGAAAAAAAAAAACAAAAAACTACGAGAATTTAGTAACAGTAATAATAGTTTTAATAAATAATAGTAATGTATATATATTTACTATAAAATGTCATGGCTAATCGTGTTTTGACGTTCAAAGGAATGCACTGGCGACAATTTTACCGACGACAACCATCCTGAATACCAAACCAGCACCTGTTGTTGCAATATTTTCTTCAAGAGGCCCACCACCAGGCATTCCAAATCTTATCAAGGTACGTACATACGTAGCTGCAGTTTTCTTCATCATAATTAATTATTTTGCTAACTTTAGTTTGATGAACTCTTAATATAACTTGATAACATTATGTTAATTATATAGTAGATCTATTAATATTTGTTTATATATATAACATATAAGTGACATTGTATCAAATATAATATTTATTATGGTAAAAAATAATAAAATATTTAAAATATAATATGTTCGTAACTATTAAATTAAATTTAGTATAATTACTATTTTTTTGTAACTTATAAAATTACTGTACCTTTGTGCATAATAATAAATTTTATTTCATTTTAATAAAAAATATTAAATAAATGGGGTGCATAGAGCAACCTCCAAGGTCTCCTAGGCGTGATTAAAAATTGGCTGCCCTCTAGCCCGCCTAGTCGGATGTGCACCTATAAGGGCCGCCTAAGCAAATATCGTAGCCCTTGAGTAATGCCTTGCTCGATTATTTAAATATTGTTCGAGACTGAAGATTGTTGGTCCTTTTGTAGCCTGATGTTGTCGCACCTGGTGTTGGCATCCTCGCAGCGTGGCCACCATTAGATGATGATCAAAAGATCAACGGTAGGGATCCACCCGGCTTCGCTATAGCTTCAGGCACATCAATGTCTTGCCCACATGTTTCCGGGCTCGCCGCACTTGTCAGATCTCAATATCCCAAATGGGGTCCCTCGGCTATCAAATCGGCGATAATGACGACAGGTTACCTGATATAAATATAATAAATTACTATTACGAAAATATTTTCCATTTCCATATACAAAATTTGTTTATATTTTTGTTTGATACTGGGACTTTAACTAAATTTATCACAAAATTGACATTGGTTATTCAAATTTTCCAGTTGACATTCATATTGCACTTTGAAAAAATCGTAAGTTCGTTGATCCATTAAAACAAAATGTCAAAATTTATTAATGAATAAACTAAAAGCCCCAAAATTGATTAATTTGAAAGGTGCATTAGCAAAATCAAGTGGCAGGGGAACTATAGATAATGAAACAATTTTTATTTTTTTTTTTTTTTTAAGCTTAGTATTATATGTCTTATCAATATATAATATTGGTAAATGTTTCAACCTCAAAGGAGAAAATCTATATCGACATAATTTGCTATGTCGGCAAATATTTTAAGTGTATTCATCTTATTACACATGTTAATATGCCTATTTGTAATTAATTGTGTACGGCTCTATAAGTCATGACATATGATGTTCATAAAAAACTTAACCACGACAAAGAGTCGTTCATGAAATATATCTAATTTTGCAGCAATACAAACCAACAATCTACAAAGCTCAATTACAACACATGACGGAATGATAGCCACCCCTTACGAAATTGGTTCAGGGGAAATAAGCCTCACGACCTCGCTACAACCAGGTCTTGTGTACGAGACAGAAAACATCGACTATATTCAATTCCTTTGCAACTTAGGATACAGCACGTCTAAAATAAAAACCATGGCCTCGAATTATATTCCTCATAACTTTTCTTGTCATCGTGACTCGCATCCTGATTTGATCTCCGATATGAACTATCCTTCAATAGCCGTTTCTGGATTGAAAGCAGATGGAATCACAAAAACGGTGAACAGAACAGTAACTAATGTTGGCGAACCATGCTCGACCTACATCGTATCCATTGAAGCTCCAACTAGTTTGGAAGTTCAAGTGGTGCCAAGAACTCTGCAGTTCACCAAAAATATTAAAAAACTACAATTCCATGTGATATTTAAGGTCATTACATCTTCGGCTGGTGAGAAACACTTGTTTGGTTCAATCACATGGGTAAGTTCAAAGCACAAGGTTCGGAGTCCATTTGTTGTGAGCAAGGCTAAAGAAAAGAAGTTAACGGGCTAGACGAATTGGACATCACTATCTTACCAGTGACCGGAATAAAAGGTAGCCAAGGCTTCCATCGATACAAATAAAAAGCACATATTTGCTTGTAATAGCTTGTTGAAATAAATAAAATAGAAGAGTTATGAAATCTGATGAATAAAAGTAATGACTTTTATAAATTATGACTTTCTGATCTGGTTAGCTTGTCCTTAAGTGCCTTTTATAATTGTTGACAAAAATATTGTGTTGAGACGTGCATGAGACTTTATTGATTTTCTTAGCATAAACTCTCATGTGTCACATACATGGTTTTTGGATTAATCTATATATAGGTGGTTGTGTTCAAGTGAGAATAGTGCTAAGTGAAAGATTAAGAATAAATTGTAGTCATTAGATCTGATCATCTAATGGCTAAAAAAAACCAACATTATACCTTCATTAAAAGTAATGTGGTAATTATTTCACACTCAAACAGAAGAACCCACACCACCACATACCTCATAACCAACCCACATTATCAAATACACACGCATACACACCCACATTGTAAGAAAGTGGGAAAAATATGTTCTGTATTGTTCACAAAGACATATACACATATATATAGATACATAGAAGGCCTAAACCTAACTTATTGTACAAGAAACCATTTAACA